CTGAATTGTACATATATTGTTTAAATTTGATATAATATGGCTACCGCCACATTTTTGGATGGACGCGGTGGCTGCTGGACTTAGTGTCACTTACTAGCTATTGTGCTGGATACTCTGCGGAGTAATTTAACCCTGGAAGAAACACAAATACCGTAAGACTCTGTATTTCCATTTTATAATAATAAAGAGACGTTTTCTCCTAGAATTTTGCCCTTTTGATTTGGTCGGGACCCGGAACTAGGAGGAACGTACAGGAGTGTTTCTATTGGAAACAATTAGGACAGCCACTGTCGAAATAAATCTACACCAGGTGCCTGATAGTGTCCAATGGATGGAGGTCTGGACACTTGACTGCCTAATTTCAGTCAATTGATAGTTGTTTGTAAGTTTGTATGTCACGTGACTGGAACGATTATGTTTGTTTCCAGGGCTGTAGGGTTTCCTGGACACCAGCACCTATGACGTTTCCAGGCCGCATATCAGTTATTTGCGATGTAAAGAATAATAAAGAGAAATTTCTAATGCTAATAATAAGAAGATTCTAGAACTAAGTAGTTTAGTTTAAGCACCCGTAGTGAAGATTGTGCCAGAGGAGTGAAGTGTAAGCAAGGATGAGGAAACAGAAATAATGGGTGATATAGGTTAAGTTAGTGATCTGAAGAGATGGAAAAATTTTTCAACCCTGTCACACATTTCATTTCTAGTCTCTGCACTCGATACAAGAGACTTGAGCCTCTTAAAGATACGGGGTGAAACGTCGCCGTGAACCTAAAGGTGTGGGCGTGCATACGTCCTAGACAACGTTGTGAATAATTCTAAGGTGAAAAAACAAAGTTGACTTCGCGTAAAGTGATGAGTTGTATTAGCCTTAGCTGCATATTGCGAACTTGTGTGGAGGCTATCAGTAATTATTTAACCGCGACCGCGTTCTTAGTAGTCATTAGAGAGAGGGCTTTCGTCGAGGATGCAGTTCATTCGCGCCACATGGAGATGAATGTACAATCCATGACATTTAGACTGGATTAGTTCTAAAACTCATTACTGCCCATTCCTCAATGGATGTAAAGTTCTTTTCAAGCTTATTCGAATCCTCCTCTTTTCTAATGGACCTACAGATCTTCACATCGTCTGTGTGGATCAATACCGGCCGGTCGTTAATTAATATCAGGTGGACAAGTGGACCTAAGATGGTCTCCTGTGAGACTCCAGATGTTGCCACTCACAAACTTGCATACGTCGGTGCGAAACTTTCTATCCTTAAGGTAGTTTCCAAGCCAGGACAGGAGTAGGTCAGTGGAACCAATTCCCACAAACTTTGCAGTCATGAGTGCATGAGGTTTTAAGTCGAAGGTATTCAAAAAATCGAGGAATATTATGAGCATGGATGTTTTTCAGTCCAAGTTAAATGTCTAACGGTCTCATTCTATCAGAATATTTGGTGCGCATGACGTGCTATTGCCAAATCCATGTGGTGCACAACCTAGTTCTAATGAAGCCATGTTGAGATGGTTAATGTGATGTTCCCTGAGTAAGTGATTAGATCGTTAATCTTTCATCAATTTTTCCGTCACGCGTGAGATAAATGTTGGGATATTATATGTCTGTAGTTTTGGATCAAGAGTTTCGGCCCTGATTCATCTTATGGGAAAACATGAGTGAATTTTCAGGTTTCGGAGTGTATACCAGCCTCTAGGGATAGCATAAATACATTGAGCAAGAGTGTGTGTGCGGGGTGCATGCATAAAGGCTTTTTCTAACATCATGGCTATATGCTGAATCGTGTGCCGCTACGATGATCGGCATCGATGGATTGTAGTGTGTCAATAACAATTCCAATCTAATTATTATTTCGAGTTTACAATACACCACTTCAGACACTTTAGTGCAATTCCAAAGGCTTTCCTTCTGAAGAAGACAATTCAAGAGAGCGCTAATATCATGCTTCAAAGGAACGAACGCTGACCTAAAATGCTTTGCCGACTGCAATAGAACCGAACATTTCTCTGGCCCTAACCAGAAACCGTTGTCATTGATGCGTTTTTTGTGTTCATGTAGCTGTTCTAGTGTCATCGCAAGAATCGAAATATCACCGAGATTGACCGCGACTCCCCATATACCTTATAGGATAGTGTCCATTAGTTGCTGGAAGAAAGATGGAGCGGTTATGACACCAAAAGGTGAAAGGTTATACTGGGAAAACCTGATGAGTATTTATAGTAAACAGCTCTCTAGGTGCTTCATCTACTTCCACTTGCAAATATATATCCGCCAAATCCACTTTTGGAATGAACGTCTCCCATTTAACATAGTGAACAGATCGGTGGGAATCGGTAGAGAATAATGATGCTGTTCCAGAGCTGTATTGAGACATGTAGAAGAGTCTGCACTTATTGTGGAAGGCGATTCAGATGTTCCTCTACTGTTGGTAATGTTGCTTGAGGTACGGGTGTCTTTAGACGGAATGAAGACCTAGCCCCAGGTTTCAACCGAAGTGTCACTTTCATGGCAATACATCAACCTAATCCAGGTTGGAAAATGGTTGAAAACTGCGTAATTAGATCCCTCGTATATGCTTCAGTGTCATGTGATCGTGGTACCAGGTGGCATATGGTAGTTGACGGGAAATTAGCCAATTTTAGCTGGCCGAATCAGTCTAAACCTAGTACATTTAGATCAGCTGGCGTTATATGACACGTTATATAACAGTAAATGACGAGTCTTGGAAGGTAACTTCATATTCCAATTGTCCCAACAGTCGGAGGTAAGTTCCACTTGCCGTAAGAGGCTTTCGTGTCGTCGACTGCAGGCTTGGGCTACCCAGTTTGATACTAGTTTTACTTGAGAGGGTGTTCACATCAAATGAAGTGTCTATTTGCAATCTAAAAAAGCGCCTATTATTATTAAGAGTGATGAATTTCCTCTCCTCTACTGATGAGTTTGTGCTGGATGATATTAGGCTCAACGAAGTGGTACCTGATATAAGAACAGACTTCTTGGTACGTCTGGATCGAATTAACTCTCTCATTAAACAAAAATTATCTTAATGACCAATTACTTTACACTTCCTGCCTCGCGTTCTTATGTTAGTGTACAAAGGCAGGATAGATTTACAGAATGTGACCATTCGACTTGCACCTAAATGACGAAGTAGCAGCCGAACCTTTCAAGCATCATATTGACTGAAAGAAATCACATTTAAACAGATCTTCATAACGCCAGAACCATATGTCAAAGTAACATTGGCATCTCGATCATAATGAAAGTCAGTCGTGCTATTCGCGATGTCATCCACTGATGGTGCCGTGGTTGCATTAGATGAGTTATACTCAGTGGAAGGCGAAATATTGATATCTGTTAATATCTGCATTAGTTGCAGCTGCTGTTCTAGTAGTAATTCAAGTTGATAGGATCCATGTTTTCAAAACCACCATCGCCAATTGATACGATCGTCAAATGTCATGCCATTACGAGATCACCTTACTCGGTAAACGAGGGCGAAGAAAAATGATGCAGTGACACGATAGGCCATTCTAAACCGATGTCTAAAACCCGGTTAACTGCAGCAAAAGGTTTTGATAAGGATTAAAAACTGTATTCCACAAGCACCTAGAAGAAACGAGGTTGCTAGGAGCACAAATCAAGCTTATTTATATATTGATAGCAATGACCTTCAGAGTGACATAATGAACACGGACACCTTCCGTGATGGGTTTTTGTGGTTTCGTACTATATCACCTACTCCATAGTTTATAATGCTGCTGATTCCTGATTCCGTTTATGAAGAATGATAGTAATCTCTGATTGATAAGTTTGTAACCAGGGTAGAGTCTGTCTGTTTTCGTATCTAATGCTGAAGGTTACTGATAATAAAATCTGTGAACGATATATATAGCGTTTTGCCAACTCAGTGATTTAATCGATTTCAATTGATTAATCGAATGACAAATGAGCGCATTAAGCAACATTGTGATACTAATAAGGACAATCAAAATGCATTTGACGATGAGTTTATGCAGATATCGTCGTGATCGATGCTTTTTAAATTAGAAAGCTGTTGCTAGAATACACTGCAATCTATTTTGTTTTCGTGTCAGATGTTATACAGCAGTTTGAAAGGATTGCCGATATATTTCATCGTTTACTGGTGTTGTCATCGATTTTTTCGTATTTCTGTAACAAAATGACAATATTTTGATCTTTGAAGGAACTATCACTCTTCATGCGAACTCCTACACGCTTAAATTCTGCTCGATCTATTACATTTTCCCATTTTATTTTTAAACAATGAACATTTCTCTATAAACGAGATTTATCAGCATTTCGGTGAGAACTCTGAAAGCGGTAACATTTTTCCACGTGTCATAGTTTTCTTCAGAGATTTATCATTTGTAGGCTATTATGCTGATTCAATCAAATTATATATTATATCCAGTGAAGTTTGATTTTATAAAGCAAACTTCCCAAGTCTTTATTCAGTAATTACATACTTGTCGTAGGCTAACACTCGGAAACACTGTATATGGGCTTACGATAGTTGTATAAGGTTCTTGAATTCTGAATACATTATCCTAAATATACCCATAAGCTAACAGTTATTCATACACTAAGTAACTAAACATCTTACCCGTAAAATCTCCCCCTACCTCTTTTGGTTTTAGCACGACACCTTATACTCATATATTTGCGTTAATTCGAAAAGCACTCAATTTTCAATTATCACCAATAATTCGAATGAACGAGAAAAATTCAGTTACAATTCAGTTACAAAACTCATGCGCTCAAATTTGTGAACAAGATTTTCAATCGTTTAGCGTTGGTAGCATAAGCGTTTTCAACAACGGTGAAAAGACTTAGAAAACAAATAAGCAAAAACTATATTTTGAATGAGAGGAACAAGTACATTGTTGTTCGAATGAAGAGTATTTTATTATCATTTAGTCCAACAAAAATGTTATTGTTATTTTTATGTTATACTTAACAGTTAAAACTAATCTACAATGTGTATAAAAAACAATAGAAATGTAATGATATGTTCTTGCTTACACCCGTGTAACAGCAAGTTGATGTTTTCAGCGGATTTCACCACAGCTTACATTTGTTTGAAGGATTCATTGGTGAATCAGTCGAACAGTTATACGCTTCAGCGAATTCTTCACTATTCGACAAAGCTCCAAATACCCTGGAATACAAGAATAACAGAAATGACTAAGACACGTATTGTGCCCGCCATAACAATACGTTCATATTCCGTGTGCATATGAGCCTAATATTGCTGCATCTTTTGTGATTATCACTACTCACCACAAGTATTGAAATAATAACATCTTAAAAATGACATACTATTCAAATTATTACTATGAACAGTTGTGAAACAATTTTGAAAATTTACAGATGTTTACCTGAATTCAGGGAAAAGATGATGAACATTATTTTGGTAGTGTGCGTATGAACCGGCACGCACATGGCCACAAAAGGTCTGCCAATTTAAACAAACAGAGTAAAGTTTATTTTGCAATCTTCAAGCAAATGTTTACATTTCTTTCAAATAATGTTTTGGAGATTAGTGCTTCTACACATTGAAATCATGAATCAACCACCGTTAGAAACCTAGAAGCACTCGAAGACCGTTTCGTAATTGCGGGTGACTTATCAGTGTTGTGCATCAACGACTCCTGCACCTTGCAAGATTCGAACACAGAATCTTCGGTACTTGGTGTAGACATCTTAAGCCTGGACCACTGAGCGGTTACCGTTTAAACCCGGCAGGCTCCAACTCCACTGGTCACGTCTTCTCATCAGAACTTTGAGAACTTCTTCACAAAGCTAATCACTGGTGAGCATAGTTTACGATTTTTTCCAGCGAGTTTCAGAAGTCCTGGATGAGCACTGTTGAGGTGTCCCACATCAAGACAAAAGGACCTTCCAGTGCTTCCGGAATTCTATCGGTGGTCTAACAATGATTGTTTGGCCGATGATTTAAAAGTTAACGTTTAAAATTGTTGTGTATTGACGCGATGTCAGTCGCAGTGAGCATTATTCGTTGTAGTATGAACTAACAAACGCCATTTATTGGACCAGTGCAGTTTAACCTTGATCGTTGTGAGCCAGTTACTCACTCAAGATAATGGATGAGTTTGCACAATGTCGTGGTTCGTTTGAAGTTAAGTATTAAGACATGTTCATGTCCGCTGATTGGTCTAGTGATTAGAGCTCAACGCACATAAATGAAGTTCCAGGGCTCAAATACCGTTTGTGCACTTCCAAACGGTCCGATACTATGACGAGACGGCCGTTCAGTACATCCAGGTTTGTAACCGTAAAATAACATTGAACCATTTGTGATTTCAGTGATATTTGCAGACTTCAAATCTGCTATTACTGAATGCATGTAAAGAGAACAGAAACAGAAATTTTTTTCATTTCACAAACATAACGCGTAAGAGCACCTTGCCTCATTCTTCTCACTGAATGGGAAAAATGTAGACGTTACACGATGTGTCGTTTCACTTGTAAAGTTTCTACGAATAAATATGAATATATATGAATAAAGTGAAGTTTTAGTTGATTTGATAAGGAACTTCCGGTGCTATCTCTCTCGTATGCATCAATTTCTCTGTGTCAGAATGTTCGTATTGCGTTCAACTGCTTATTCATTTTCGGAAACTGATTGCTAACCATGTTTACATTCTGTTGGGTACAAGAACGTCTTTAATCCAACTGTGGGACTAAACGAATAAAACACAAACATAAACATTGCGAAGAATGCGTGAACGGAAAAACTTCATAAACGCCTTTCCGACGCAAGTGAAAAGTATCAAGCATGTAATTGAGAGATGTTTACGGTCGTAAAACTTACAGCTAACTGCTAAATAGTCCAAGCACAATTGTGTTTGGCAATATTACAGCACTCAAAATTCAAATCATCGATTTTTACACGGGTAAAATGGAGATAATATAGCAAAGGATAAAATATTTATTGTTGTTGGTCAGCATTAGTTTATTTTCAGACTTCGATACTTCAGCCGTAACAACTTTAGTTTTATATATTTTGGAATTGAATGATTATTTCTACCGAAGTTTCGCTCAGTGATTTCAAGTAAGCTGAGCACTCGCTAGAACAAGTAAATCCGTTATGATAATATCTAATAATGTTCAAATGATTTGGACAGAGTCAGACTTATGGTTATTTGAACTTAGATCGACATATGTCTATGTCTATCTTAGTCTCACATTAGGGCTTACAGGTATGCCACATTTTTTCAATATTGTATTGCATTCGTCGTGTAGTTTTCGAATAGTAATTTATTTTACATGCAGACATTATCTGTTCAGTTCTCATTGAGTATTGTCACCGTGCATACAAATAACAAATCACGTTTATGAACTTACCTGTGCGAATTTCAAGAAAAACAATCTATCCGATGATAAGATTTCACTTGCATTTTGAACTCGTTGTCTAGTTAGCACTCTTCGATACGTCTTTAAAGTGATTGGAAAAGTCATACAAAATATAGATCACTTATGACTACTGTGATAAAGGCGAGATACTGACAGTTAATGGGCGTTTGCCTTTACAGCCGGAATACAAATGCTGTCAATCGCTTTAAAGATCTTTATGTCAGTACTTTCTTATAAATATGAGATTTGTTTTTCATTTCATAAATTTATCTCGAGTTTTGCATAAATTTTAATCTTATTTTGTATCATCGAATAATATTCAACTACTTAATTGCTAACACATCACGTTTCGAGTGGGTTGAAATGTTTGTTGGAAAGAGAGACGTGATTTTAGAGAAAAAATCTTATCGTATACTGGTTAGCTTTGAGACAGATTTTCACGATTCATTTTTCAATCAGACCAATGAATTCGAGCATGCTGCTAACTAGACAACGACGGACTAATGATACTGAGTCACTAACACACAACCTTACAAACTCGCTGGAATCGATAATCGGTCTCTGACCCGACATATAATAATGCAGTTGCAGAAAACAAAAATCTTCAATTCTGATTTCAAAAAGAACTCGAAATAGCACTCAACTTCCACAAGTGAAACAGATGACTTCAGACCGCTTTTCCTATTTTGAACTAAACTTTTCACCTGCCTAATCGATAACTATATTTATGTAGTATTGTGAATAGTCGCACAGTGAAACTCAGATTCTCTGGACAGCATCTAATACAGTACTTCTTTATCAAGAGAAAAAATGCAAACATTTAATTCCGCTCACGTACATCATAAATTATTTTCAATCCCCCTTTATCGGTCAAAATTTCATCCTGTGTTCCAATCCTGTTGCTCTGTTCATGTTGATTCAAAAAAATGGGAAGTAGAAATCAACATTTCTGATTATCACGGATTTTTCATCCAACTAAAAAATTGCTCTCAAGGAAATATCTTATCTTTTTCTGGAAACTATATAACATGATTAGGTATATAATTTAAATGTTGTCAAAGGATCTGTAACGTTAACTCATTAATCCATGACTACATAAAGGCATTATTAGAAGTCAGAATGGAGACTGTTTTCTTTTTATCGAATATTCGAATGAATGATTTTACTTTGGTTCAATCGCTCGATTTCACTTTTTTCCAGCTTTTACTATTAGACATGATTGTTTGTCGTTCCGTTTGATGAATTTTAGAATTTTAGATGCATGTGAATGAATTTCAAATTTTCCGTAGTAAACGTATATCAGTGTTTAATTAAATTTATTGGTCCACTGTAAAATATGTTTCATTTCATTGTGCGCGTACAATATGAGCCGCATATTCGAATAACAATAACAAACATAACACTTCATACTTTACTGCTTAAAATAACTCACCTTTCCATACGCACCCGGATGAAGTTTGTAATGAAGTCGTAGACAATCGGCTTGCTTTATATTTGCAATGAGTCCTGTTTCAGAATTTCCACTTGTCCGTAAATGCCCGTTTTCATCAATGAGAATGCCTGATAATTATAGAGCAAGTAATCAGTGGTATAGAGGTGCATTATGTTGCGTTAGTTAACTGATCACTGGTTTAGGCTGAATGGTATCAGAAAAAGGTACCTTCAGCTTTCATTCATTTACTTTTGCACATGTCCGTGAATAACTGATACATGCATTATCACACTATGGAAAAAAAGTTTTATGTTTGGGCTTATTTTCTGGAGTAGTTACCAGTGACGTGAAGTCACGTATTGCCTGACCACAGAAATAACTCAACTCCGCCTATAGACCCTTCGGGGCTACTGCCAGTCCCAAGCCTGTATAAAGGATGAGATTCGGGCGTGGGGTTGGCGATCCCATCTCGTCAGAAAACTAACTTGCCAAATTAACGCTAACCAGAAGAAGTCATTCAAACCATTTTAACTGTGCCCTGTGAGTTTGAAGAAGAATTATGACGTCTCGTGAGGAAAGCCGAGTTCTCTCAGAAGTCATGGCGACGATGCCTCTTCTGAGAACTATCATTTTAGGTACATGGGGCTTTCGTACATTTTGGGAGACTGCAAGACTATTTACAGTTGTGGCACAAAGGAAAAGATACAACCTCGAGGTGCTCGGCATCAGCTTAACGCACTGGAAACAGGTAGGACAAGTGAGACTAGCTTCAGGTGAACTGCTGTTATACTCTGGTCATGAAGAGGTAAATGCTTCACATACACAAGGAGTTGCAATGATGCTGTCCAAACAAGCACGAAAGGCACTGACAGGATGTTAATCTCATGGACCCAGGACCGTTAAAGCATCCTTCAAAACAAAGAAAGAGGACATTACAATGAACGTCATCCAATCCTTTGCACCTACCAATGACTACAATGACGACGTTAACCATCAATTCTACGAAAGGCTGCAGTCAATCCTCGACAGATGCTCACCGAAGGATTTGACCATTCTGAAGGAAGACCTAAATTCCATGGTTGGAATGGAAAACACTGAATGCGAACACAACATTGTACGACATGAACTGTGAGAGATTTGCAAACTTATGTGCCTTCAACAAACTGGTCATCGGTGGCACAATATTCCCGCACAAACGCATACACAAAGCTACATGAATTTCACCGGATCAAACTACTCAGAACCAAATCGACCATATCTGTATCAACAAAACGTTCAGAAGGACAATAGAAGATGTGAAAACCAAGAGAAGAGCTGACATACCCTCCGATCATCATTTGCTGATCGCCAAAATGAAACCGAAACTAAAGAAGCACTGGACAACGGGACAGACAACATCACACAAGTTTATTACTGCCGTTCTTCGGGATACCGTAAAACACAACGAATTTAAGATAACTCTCACCAATAGGTTCAAGGATTTGCAGGATCTACTCATCGGAGAGGAAGTAACATCGGAGAACAATCGGAAAGGGGTCAAGGATGTAATCACTCCAACATGTCACGAATGTCTGAGTCACAAGAAGTACCATCGCAAGGATTGGATATCTGTTAGTACCCTTGCAAAAATTGAAAAAAGAAGGAACATTAACGCAGCAATCAATGTCAGCGGAACAAGAGTGAAGAAAGTTACCTCATAAACTGCATACAGAGAAGCAAACAGGGAATTGAAGAAGAGCACCAGATCTGACAAACGAAATTATGTGAAAGATCAATCAACGACGGCGAAAAAGCCTGCAAGAGACGGAAACTTGAGACAACTGTACGTAACAACAAAGAAGCTGGCCGGAAACTATCGTAAACCAGAACGACCTTTGAGAAGCAAGGAAGGCAATGTAATCAGCAACACTGAAGGACAGGGAAATATGTGGGTAGTGCACTTTAAGGAACTCTTGAATCAACTAGCTCCACTGAACACACCCAACATCGAAGCAGCATACACGGACCTCCCAATTAATATTAGCGCATCTACAATTGAGGAGATCAGCATGGCAAACAGACAGATCAATAGTGGCAAAGCAGCAGGACCAGACAACGCTCCACCAGAGGACGTAAAAGCAGACAACGAAGCAACTGTGAAAATATCTCACATCCTCTTCAAGAAGATTTGGGATGAGGAACAAGTACCATCAGATTGGAAAGAAGGATACCTGATCAAATACCAAAGAAAGGCGATCTCAGCAAGTGTGAGAACTAAAGAGGCATCGTTCTTCTTTCAATACTAGGCAAAGTCTTCAACAGTGTATTGTTAAACAGAATGAAAGACTTCGCAGATGCCTAACTTCGAGATCAGCAGTCCGGATTTCGTAAGGATCGATCGTGTACTGACCAAATTGCTACATTACGGATCATTATGGAGCAACCAATTTAATGGTACTCACCACTCTACATCAACTTCACCGACTATGGGAAAGCATTCGATGGCGTGGATAGAAAAACACTGTGGAGGCATCTTCGAAACTACGGTGTGCCTGAGAGGATAGTTAACATCATACCGAATTGTGATTATGGATTGAACTGTGTAATCGTGCACGGAGGTCAGCTGACAGACTCTTTCGAGGTGAAGACCGACCTGTGTCAGGCAAGGTTGCTCACTCTCACCCTTTCTATTTCTCCTGGTGACCGATTGGATTATGAAGACATCGGCATCTGGCGTGAAGCACAGTATTCAGTGGACAGCTAGGACGCAGCTGGACGATCTGGATTTCGCAGATGACCTGCCTCTTATATAGCACACACCACAACAAATGCAAGAGAAGACGACCGGTGTAGCAGCAGCCTCTGCAGAAGTAGGTCTCAACATAAATAAAGGAAGAAGCAAAATTCTCCGATGCAACACAACATGCACCAACCAAATCACTCTTGATGGAGATGCCTTGGAGGACGTTGACACCTTTACATATCTTGATAGCATCATCGACAACCAAGGTGGATCCGATGCTGATGTGAGGGCGCGGATCAGCAAAGCAAGGGTTGCATTTCTACAATTGAAAAAATAGCCAAAACTTCAAACAACTTTCAACCAAAACGAACATCAGGATTTTCAGTGCAAATGTCAAGACAGTTCTGCTACTGTATGGAGCAGAAACTTGAAGAACTATCAAAGATATCATCCAGAAGATACAAATGTTTATTAACAGTTGTCCACACAAAATACTTCGTATTCGTTGGTCAGACACGATGAGCACCAACGTACTGTGGGAGAGAGCAAATCAGATTTCAGTAGAGGAGGGAATCAGGAAGAGGCGGTGGAAGTGAATGGGACACACGCTACGAAAAACCACCTAACTGCGTCACAAGACAAGCCCTCAGATAGAACCTTCAAGGCAAAAGGATAAGAGGAAGGCCAAGTTACACATCACGCCGAGTTATAGAAAAGGATATGAGAGGAACGACCAAACATTTGACAGAAATGGAAAGGGAAGCATTAAACAGATTTGGTTCGAGAAAACTGGTGGGTGGCTCATGCTCCATTAGGGGTAACAGAAGTAAGTAACTAAGTGAGTAAAGAAATATAGTGATATATCATCAATTTCCAGCTAGATAACTTCTATTGGTGATTACATTTCTTTCATCAAACATCAAATGTATTAATGCGTGATAAATGGACACACAAAGTGCAATTTACCTGTAATATCAATAGCGTGTAAAAATTCATGAGCGATGATCCAACCCAATCCTGTAAATTTAAGGAACTGATTCTCATTCTTTTCATAAAACGGTGTTTGCATCAATCCACCAAAAATATATATGCTGTTTAATTCTCTCACGTTGAAAGCTTCTGACAAATAAGTTGGTATATCAGGTTGTGACCTATTGAATTATTCATGCAGACAACAATAAAATGCATAATTCAATAGCGTGATATTTATTCAGGATAAAATGCTTCATATAAATTTACTGCAAATTTTGCTCAGGATGAAATGATTATGAGTTTCGTTAGCATACAGTACTTGAGCACTTTGAGATAATTGTTAATTATAACTTAACTATGTGTACAGTTGATTTATAGATGAGTTCATTCGGACGCCATTTGATGCTATTTGCCACTAGTCTCATTGGCCTCGTCACAAGTTAATGAAAATCACAAATAATCTATTTTTCAGAGTATCAAAAGTAGAAGAACCAATAAACCACATATTATTAGGAATCGCACAGAATTGATCGAAAAATAATGGCTTACTTTGGACCAAACATTCCTAATACTTTCTTCAATCTGTCTAAATAGATGGATTTCTGAGCATAATATTCGTTTAAAATATGGTCCGACGAATTCATACGATACTGAAATTCAATGATTCGCATGGACAGAATAGATTCAGATAATTGAATTATAAGAAATCAACAAAAGCACTTTTGCAACACAGGTGACACGCACATATTTGTACGTGTTGTCGAAAATGAGATCACGAGTGAGTTGAGATATTTGTATGAATAATTTTAATGTCATCCGTAACTGAGGTTACTTAGACGCAGCTATCGGAAACGTGTAATTTGCAAGCGCCGGTACAATCTTAGTTTTATGCTCCTTAACTGCGTTTGATCATATGATCTTTTACAATGATCTTTTTACACACACAAATTAAAAATTATTGTAGTAACCCTAATCCTCAGCTCACGTTTTTGTATATATGTGTGAACACGTACATGAGCGACAGATACTCAGATGAGTTCCTCCACATGACCTACTTTATTACGGGACCAAAAAATGTTGAGTTATTACAAACAATGAAAAACAGTTTAACTCGTAAACAATCTGACACAAATCTATTTTGATGAAACAATGTTTTTGTCTGCAACAAACTCACCTTATATATTGCTGAAATATTCTCTCTTCTTTCCGATTCAGTCACATCAGAATATAAGATGAAAGGTCTGATTTTTTCAATCTACAATATTTATTCATTTGTTATGAATAATTGAAAGCAATTGTAAGTCAAGCTTACCTTTCTCTTGGCAAACAGTTTTGTATCGTTGTCCAACCATGTGGCTTGTGTAATAGCCTCATTTATTGTATCTCTGATTTCGCTCACCAGCTGCCATACCTTTGGATAAAAATGTATTACTGAGTTAAGCATTCGATCTTATCAAAGTTAATCTAAGTTTTCTTGCTAATATACTTTTCCTCAGGTGAGCGCTTATCTATCGTACGATATATAACTGTTCATTCTCGCAGTAGTAACTCGAGGCATTTGATGTTGATCGCTTTAAGAACAAGACTGACAAGGATTTGTAGTGCCTCCACATATATTCCAGTTCGATTACATTTAATTTGGTTAAGCCCTTTCGATTAATTTATTTAACCAAGCCATTTGTATAGCAACAACTCATATGTACCATCGGTATTTTTTATTTTCTGGTTTGTATGAGCTTGTACGACTGAGCATTGCTTACGCCTACGCGCTTACTCATCCTTTTCGCTTTAATATTAATCTCTTAATTTTCCCATGAACTCACATGATTTGTATCGCTTGCTTTTGACCTTGTCAATCATTTGTCGCTTTTATTCATGTGTGTGCATACCTGTTTCGCTTGTCATATGTCTGTCTTATTTTTTGTCTGACTATATATTCCTAGTCATACTCTATCTCTTTGACTTGGCTCTTAGCCTTCTCCGATTCGCTTCGCTTTATGGTGTGTCCAAAATAAACGTCTTCATCACTACGAGTTAACGTTCTGATTTATAAACCGTCAGACTCTATTTAGCAACGATTGTCTGGACGAGACAATAACCGAGCTTTAGAAAACTCAGTAAATCGGAACACTACAAATGGTGACCCCGACGTTTCCAAGATTAATTTGACGATTGTGACGACAAATCGAATACAACCAACCAGTTGGCATCGTTTATGGTCAGAACTACGACGGTATCTGATCGTCTTCGAAACTCTGACTTTCGCTCCTGATCAATGAAAACATTCTTGGCAAATGCTTTCGCTGTAGTTTGTCTGACAGCGACAGAACTAACTCGGATCTTCAGTTAGCATCCTTCATTTTTCACAAATCGTATTTTCTTCGTAGAAGCGTTCCACTACAGATTATTAACAAAAGAGTTATGTGTATACTTGAAAATTTCATAACTTCTTTATTTAGCAGAAGCCTTATATTATCTACGTGCTGATTTCTTAATTTCACAGTGTACTACCCTCTCATTCTTTATTTGTGCTTCTTCCTTGTGTCAGATTTTATTATCAAATTGATGAAAGTCAGCAGCTACGATGAATTTGTTTGATTCTTTCCTTTTGTTGTCGTTGCCTTTTTTGAACTAAATTAGCCGACATTAGCATAATGGTCACTGTTCACATCATTCTCTCTTATGCGTGATGTGACTGTGTTGTAACGCATTTGTTTCAAAGTAGGTTTCAAAATATTGTAACATTGTAACAGGTGTATGTGTTCACTTCAACCTGAAAATTCAAATCAAACTCATCAATGAATATCAGTGTTTCAGAGTGTTTTTTGTTTCTCAGTGATGTTAAATCATGTTGGTATCATTGAAATCATAATTTTTAACGCAACTGATTTTGCATGATCGTTTTTTTCAGTGTTGAGTCTGGAATAGAGAATTATCGTTCACATCGCTAGTATAGTTATTCAAAGAATAAAAGCTAACCTCATTTTTCTGGTATTCGGTGATGTGTGAAGACAGGTAGTGCTTTTCAAATGTCCATGGAAATACAGTCTTCACTCGATTCATACAATGAGGTGAGAAATATATGGCACCTCCTAATCAGAACACAAGAAAATGAAAGTATTGTTGTTATGTAATTGAATAAAAATATCATCGGTTTTAATGTATCTTGTTCTTAAATAGTGCATAAAATGCGTACACTTAATGACAAAGTTATTGCATGTAACTAAAGAATGAGGCATTATATATCTTTTAAACCAGTGAAAAAGGATTCGTTCATGTATTTAAACTTTATTATATTTGAATACTAAAATGACCAAATCTTCATGAGTTACTTTGGTCAACATGTCAGTGAACATACGACACTTTAGAGAACTAGTGTAAAAAATCACTACCTCAAAGAAAGATTGCTATAATTTCATCATTTGTTTAATACTTGACAAGTATTCAAGTGTATAAATCAAATGGACTCCAGCGCCTTATTGAATGCGCACTACAGTCGAATCACCAGAGAAATTTCAAACAACAACAACTTCAAGGTTATATATCCGTTTTTCAATGTTCAATAACCATGCATGAATGATTGCAAGTTTCACTGAGATTTTCATCTCAAGTTCTAACTTTCACACGTATTTAGCGAATCATATTATCGTTTTCATCATATTTTGTATTCTTCATGTACTACCCATCATGCGAGTATGTATGCATCGTCAGTCTGTTAAACTCAACTTTCATTTGCTCAACAACAAAGAAGATGTCTTTTGCAAATTTTTTGCAGCATGGTGCGTAAATTCGCCCAAATGCATCTAATCAAACGTGGTCCATTCAAAAATGAATATGAATGTATATGAAACCTTTTTATAAAAGAATATTACTTATATAATAAAATTTATTTGAAATCATCAATCTATCATTATTAGACCATCATTAGAAATGTGTGTAAAAATACAAACCTTCAAAACTATACCCGAAAGTAGTTTTTATGTTATACTAGTAGGTTTACCTGGATTTGTCATATAACTATTCGCGTTAAGATTTCCTGAACTAACTGCATGTTGTATGACAAAATTCAATATCGCCAAATTGTAGAGTGCACTTCAAAAATCATTAGAAATAGAAATAAGGAGCAACTGTATTCTGGAGAATGTCACTATCATAAGCAATTATCTTCCAAAAAACAATTTTTTAGAGAAATTGAAAAACGGAGCTGAAATTAATTCTTACTCTTTCGCCGTCTATCACATCTCAACATGTTTGGGATTCCCGCGAATGGAATGCATTTGTTAATGTGACGCTATATAGGTGAGTCATTTATCTGTGCAGCACTAACTGTTTAGATACATTCAATCAACAATCAGCAAACAATTTCGATTTCTGAGAAATCACTAGACAATCTCTTATATTCACTGGTTTTTATGTGCTTGTGTGTAACCATTCCCTTGATTGTTTCATTCCGTTAACTTCAGAACATATGAAAAGCTGAAACGGTCTTCATGGATATCGAAATCAAAAATCAATAAAAGTTGTTCAATCATTTGAAGCACTTTATTGGAGTCCACTTGTATGCATTTTTAACTGTGAACAGCTAATAAGTTTCAGAAAAACACACTCCAATTATAATCAGACTTCATGCATTGCTCACAGAGTTTTCATTATTGTATGTCAGGTTGAAGGATATTAGCACTAGGTAACTTGAAAATCCTTTCTCGGATTCATTCATCTGATGTTATATCAGTCGTTATATCAGGTCACGTGCGTAAGCACATCACACAAACGTAAATATAATATGTAAGTGTATGCTCTATAGAATAACCAGAACAAACGAAATCATTGCCCTTGAAAACTTTCAAATATGTAACCCGAAGATTTTAATTATGTATATAAAATTAATTATTCTACATTATTATACCACATTTCGATCACTTGAACAATAAATAAACAAACGGGAAATCAATTTGCTGAAGTACCTTTTTCCTGCGTCTGTTTCCAACTGAATTTTATGAAGTCCACAACGATATTGTAATAGAAATGTATCTGCAATCTCTATTTGCCGACGATTGTACGTTGTTAATCCATTTTGATCGAACAATTTGGTGAATAAATAATCCCAGTCGATCTAAACAGTCAATGCAGTGAATTTGTGAACAATGTTTCTCAAAATGTATTTGATCGGAAAATTCGTTTGTCTTAATGAATAGACTTAACAGGTGTTACGCACATGATTGATGTGAAATAAATGGGATCTTTGTAAAGTAGCTTTATTGAATTTGTGTGGATGTCAGCAGAATGAACAAGTCATTCACTAAACTAGTATTCTAGATTTTTACCGCATTTCCATAACAGATTACACTGTTGTCAACAAAAACAGCTGTTAACTATACAAGTTAATATGCCTGAAGGTGCAATCTTCATTTACAAACACTCTTGAAAATATTTGAATAAAATAATGGCTTATTTTACTGACAAATTTTGTTCTCTGCCCATATGTTTAATTAACATTTGTCTAATTGAATCGCCTCTAAATATGTGCCGATAACTACTGCAAATTCACCATTTAAATGATTCGTCGTTGTAATCGAGTGACATCTTTCTAAGGTGGAACCTAATGGTCGTACCCGCTTATGAATATCATAGATCATTATAGACCTTTCATTTACGTTCCTTGATCTTCAACCTAGTAACGTGATCTCGGTGTCTTTCAATTTATCCTTGATTTCTAAAGACATATATTTATCGATCAACTATGATTAAAAATGTACAGCCTTAGTAAATAATTCTTTTCAAAACAAAATTTCATTTCATGAACTCTTTTTACTTTCATGACCTACATTGTTCACTGATAATATATCCAATAACCATTAAACTAATGGAATCGTAAATAAATACATGCTGATCTCTACTAAACATTCGCCAATTGTATGATGAGTCGTTAGGATATCATCAATGCGATGTTCAATAAGCCACTGTAGAAAACATCCTTGTTCATCTAGTCAAAGCAGATTTCTTGATAGTTTGTTAGGTGTCAAAAACAATGTGCACCCGGTCTACGATCGGTTGATCTATTTGCATTCATCATCTATATCAAAACTATTCGTTTTGATTCAGTGTCATTTGACTATTACCCCACAGTCTGTCTGGTTTCAACTTTCCTATTTTAAGCTTTCAAGTGTTAAATAATGAGGATTGCTCATTTCATGATACAGTTTAAAAGAAGACAAATTTGTTTTTACCTGTTCACAGATAACGTTTAGTTCTCTCAATGTAACAATTTTACTTGACTTCGGATATTTTCGTGAACCTAATGAACTCTACAGATCAGAATAAAGAAACGAATGAGAAGATCGAGCAATGAAATATGTCAATTAGTGTACGCCAGAAAACAAAGAAAATTTGCTTCTCATTGGTTTGGGAAATTATTCTGTGAACTGAGAAAATAATGAGTTCAGTATGTTTCTGTTGAAAGATTTTGTATAAACTCAAAAATGAAACTGTCAAAAATAAACAATACTTACTTACTTACTTACTTACTTACGACTGTAACCCCATGAAGCATGGGCCGCCCACCAGTTTTCTCGAACCAAATCAGTCCTGGGTTTCCCTTTCCAGTTCTGTCAAATATTTGTTCATTCCTCTCATATCATTCTCTGTTTCTCAGAGTCATGTGTTACTTGGCCTTCCCTTTTTCTTTTGACCTTGAAGGTTAAATGTGAAAGCTTGTCTTGCGACGCAGTTAGGTGCTTTTCGTAGTGTGTGTCCTATCCACCAAGTCCACAGCTTCTTCCTGCTTTCCTCCCCCACTGAAATCTGGTTTGTTCTCTCCCACAGTACGTTGTTGCTGATAGTTTCTGAACATCGAAGTCGCAGTATCTTGCGTAGAAAACTGATCACAAATACTTGTATCTGCTGGATGATGGCTTTGGTAGTTGTCCAAGTTTCCGCTCCATACAGTAGATCTGTCTTGACATTTGTATTGAAAATCCTGATGTTGGTATTGGCTGAAAGTTGTTTGGTATTCAATATATTTTTCTACTGTAGAAACGCAGTCCTTGCTTTGCTAATCCGCGCCCTTGATTGTAGATGATGATGCTCAGATATGTAACTGTGTCAATGTCCTCCAAGGCATCTCCTTCAAGAGTGATTTGGTGGGTGCATGTTGTGTTGCATCGGAGAATTACGCTTTGCCCTTTATTTCTGTTGAGACCTACTGCTGCAGAGGCTGCTGCTTCACCGGTCGTCTAATCTTACATTTGTTGTTGTGTGTGCTATATAAGAGGCAGGTCATCTCCGAAATCCTGATCGTCCAGCTGCGTCCTAGCTGTCCACTGAATATTGTGCTTCACGCCAGATGCCGATGTCTTCATAATCCAATCGGTCACCAGGAGAAAGAGAAAGGGTGAGAGTGAGCAACCTTGCTTGACACAGGTCGGTCTTTACCACGGAAGAGTCTGTCAGCCGGCCTACGTGCATGATTTCGCAGTTGAATCCATCATCAGAATTCCGTGTGATGTTAACTATTTTCTCAGGCATATCGTAGTTTCGAAAAAGCCTCCACAGTGTTTTTCTATCCACGCCATCGAATGCTTTCCCTTAGTCGGTAAACTTGATGTAGAGTGGTGGGTTTGACTCAATTGATTGCTCCACAATGATCCGTAATGTAGCAGTTTGGTCAATACACGATCGGTCCAGCCTTTTGATCCCGAAGTTGGGGTCTACGAATTCCTTCATTCTGTTTAACAATATACTGTTGAAGACTTTGCCTGGTATTGAAAGAAGAATGATACCTCTGTAGTTCTCACACTTGCTCAGAACGCCTTTCTTTGGTATTTGATCAGGTATCCTTCTTTCCAATCTGATGGTTCTTGTTCCTCATCCCAAATTTTCTTGAACGGGATGTGAAATATTTTCTCAGTTGTTTCATTGTCTGCTTTTATGTCCTCTGCTTCGATGTTGGATGTGTTTAGTGGAGCTGGTCGATTCAGGAGTTCCTTTAATTGCTCTATCAACCTATTTCTCTGTTCTTCAGTGTTGCTGATTATTTTGCCTTCCTTGCTTCTCAAAGGTCGTTCTGGTTTACAATAGTTACCGGCTACCTTCTTTGTTGTTTCGTACAATTGCCTCAAGTTTCCGTCTCTTGCAGCCTTTACCGCCGTCATTGCTTGATGTTCCACATATTTTCGTTTGTTAGCCCTGATGCTCTTCTTCACTTCCCTGTCTGCTTCTGTGTATTCAGCTTGTGCCTTATGTTTCTCTGCTCTTGTTCTGCTGACATTGATTGCTGCCTTCTTGTTGCTTCTTTCTTAATTTTTGCAAGAGTACCAACAGACATCCAATCCTTGTAATGGTACTTCTTTTGACCCAGAACTTCGTGACATGTTGAAGTGTTTGCTTCCTTAATGCCTTTCCAATTGTTCTCGAATCATGCTTCCTCTCCATTGAGTAGATCCTGCGAATCCTTGAACCTAATGGTGACGGCCATCCTAAATTCGTTGAGCTTTCCATTATCGCAAAGAAACAGCCTATAAAACTTGTGTGACGTTGTCTGCCCCGTTGTCCAGTGCGTATGACCTTATTAAATACCTAGATAGCATCGATTTCAATCGACGAATTCAGTAAGGTCAAATTTCAGAACATAGTACTGTTTGTCGAAAATGACTGAAAAATTTGATTACCGAAAAAATCATTAGTATCAACTAAATCTCCTGACTGAGAATTATCGCCATGTGACAATGGATTGGTTATTTCACATCTTTAGGTCAAACATTGAAAGTGCATTATGGCACAGTTAGGTTGTGAGTGAAACATAGATGGAATTAAAGCATGACTACGTTGCTGCGCGCTGATTGGCTAATTTGTTATCTAATCAGCGCCTGATCAATTCTCGGAGAACAGGCTAGAAAATTATCATGCTTTTAGCTGAATGCTGATTGGCCAAATCTGAACTAGTCGATCACGTGAAATACAATCCAGAAGCTTATCATGTAAGAACTATAAAGATACTAACGTTGTATATATTTGACCTTCGCGTTCGGCTTTGGCTTTGTATTTCCATTTGGAATATAATCTTTTTGCTGTTCCACAGTGTTTTTGATTCTTTAGAACTTGTCCAGTAAATTATAGTCAGCGAATACTAAGCAATAGGAATAACCTGGGAATTATTTAAGCAAGAGTTACAACATAGGGTGAGCGAAAAGAATCGTTATTAGTTGGACAACATGACTTTGAATGCTTCAGGCCAGACGTATTAGCGAAGCGAGAGACCATAAATCACCCTTCTTGTTTGACGTTAATTGAAATACTTAAATAAAATGTCTTTTAACTGATTATCACACCCATGATTAACATGAAAATCTACAATTTTTATATCGTTTACAAGAATATATCACTTCTCAAGCAAGACTGACTAAAAGCATTTCAGACTTGAGTCAGTTAATTTGTGTTTCTCATCTCGTTTAAATAATTATTATTAGCTTGTTTCATATTGTATTCAATTAACAAGCACTCAAACTGAGATAAATGATATACTGTGTAACACAACTCAACATTAGTCTAAAATATGTGAGACGCACTTACACTAGCTAAACGGTCAAATAATTCGAAAGCCTCATTGAAACTTTCATTATTCGAACGATTCAAATTCAGGAATTCAACCGCCCGATAAAACATTTGTTTCAGTTCCCGAAATCCTATCTGTTTGAAAGATAATAATGAAAACAATGAACATAGCCAGCCACAAGGTTATAACAGTTGTATATATGTGTGCTAAATAAAAATTCTTTGACATTGCTTAGGTGCCTTACCTATTGTGTGTCCTATCAACTTCCAACGCTTCTTCTTGACTTCCTCCTCAACTGAAAGCTGGTTTGTTCTCTCCCGCAGTACGTTGTTGCTGTTGTGTCTGACCAACGAATACGAAGTATTTTGTGTAGACAACTGTTCAAAAATACTTGTATCTTCTGGATGATGGCTTTGGTAGTTGTCCAAGTTTCCGCTCCATACCATAGATCTGTCTTGATATTTGTATTAAAAATCCTGATTTTTGTTTTGGTTGAAAGTTATTTGGAGTTCCAGATATTTTTCAACTGTGGAAACGCAGCCCTTGCTTTGCTGATCCGCGCCCTCACATCAGCATCGCATCCACCTTGATTGTAGATGATGCTGACCAGATGTGTGAAGGTGTCGACGTCATCCAAGGCATCTCCTTCAAGAGTGACTTGTTTGGTGCATGTAGTGTTGCATCGGAGATTTTCGCCTTTCCCTTTATGTATGTTGAGACCTACTACTGCAGAGGCGTTAATACGAGAATTATAGTCTGTAATTCATTCGAACTGAATTCACCTGAAATACATGTTTTAGGAAGATGCCTCAAACTTCATAATATGTGTAGCTAATTACTGAAGATATGAGAATTGGGTCGTTTGGGACTGATTGTTTTGTTTGAAAAATTAGTTCTGTTTTTAGTGTAACTGCATGCTAGTGAATAGTTTTGTTTCGATTGATACGCGTACATTATCATGACATTCATTCAAACTGCCTTGTAACTGAGTGACTATGTTCTTAGGTTTTACAGTCTTCTTGTGTACTTCGAAAATATCTCGCTACCATCCATTTCTATAATGTGAATGATAACGTGTAATGCTATCTCACTGCCTGTGTATGATTTAGTACGTACAAGTACAACGATCATTCAATTACAACAAGTAATTTAATCTATTGTATGTCTAGTGCCTTATTTTTATTGATTTCATATTTCTATTATTTAACTCTGTGTAAAATGAAATGAGGTTACGGTATTGGATTTTCAGAAACTTTGTGTATGGCTATTCACGCAATACTGTTGTGATATATATATATATATATATATAAATGACCGGAATACTTTGATCAAAACTATATGATTGAAAATTTCGGTGTGATATTTTTACGATTGTTTTAAATACTCTGCAATGTTCGCCCTTAGCAAATGAAATCACCTTAAACGGGTGATGCGTATTACAAACATGCATTTCCAAAACCAAAAAAAATAAAAGACATTCATGGCAAAACTGACGTGCAAAAATGTAGTGCACTAAAAATTTCAATGTTCATGCACTTATTTTACTGACTATAAAATAGTAAATAATTTGATAATAAACGATATTTCTTAAGAGAAATTTCAACGTTTAAAATATTCATCATGACCTGAAAATTACCTCGTTCAGGAAATAGGGATCTGATGATAACTGACCTGAAGAAATCTAGTAAAATCAGAAATAGTAAATAAAATTTTTGAATGTAAACAAGTTGTAGAACTTTTCATTTTAGAACACACGGGACAACATCACTTTTATACCATAAACTGATTTATAGTCTGTCTTTGAAGATGTTTTGAAAAGCACATTAATAAAACTAGATTTACTGTCAGTTGTTGAACATCGTTATACGTCCATAAATAAATTTGGAAAATGATTACTGAATCCATTCATCAGAATTCCTTCAATACTTCTTTTGAAAGCTACTTTGATGTTTCACAAATCATGAGATTTTTATCTCATGCTTCTTGGGACAATATTAGTCAAATTGAAATTCCGTACGAAGAGTTTCCTACTTCTCGGACACAATACAGTACCATCTCTTCTAATGCTTATCCTGTCTATTTCGCCTGCGTCTAGTCGGTTTCACTTGTTCCATCTACCACTTGGTAGATGTAGTGACATGATTACTCCCGTTAGTCTACCAAATTGTTCAATCATCTCATTCACCTAGGACTTCGCCCTGCCGATAACAGTAAATTTATATGACCATCATGACACCCTATATCTTGCATCATTCAGTGCACACCAGAAATACACATCAGCTCTCGTGATGAAAGTGGAAGTCTTTTTTAAATCTAAACCATGATTGTTCAGTTTAATATTTTATCAATAGTTTGCAGATTTACTGATCAGAGGTAGTTGATAAGTTGCATCCATATCGCAAGATAACTAATACACTGTCAGTATAATATCATGTTTTGATTTTCAGGAACTCAATATTCATTTCGAAAAGTAAATTAAAAACATCTCTTAGTTTCATGATCAATATTATTTTCTCCTAAGAAAGGTTATTCAAAGACTGAATTGACACTTTTCGAGAAAGTCTGTTTCGCATCAAATTCAACATTGACGAAAACAAATGGCGTGTTAGAAAAGTTTTATCATGAATGAACACTACTTCGTAAGACAATTTTTATGATCAACTCACTCGAATTATATTAGTTTCTGCATCAACTTCCAATGAAAATAAAGGTGAATGTCCTGTTGCACTGATCAGTGGTAGGTAGACGTCAGTCAAACTCAAATTTAGAACATTTTTCACAGCATCAGATCTATTTTCCCAATTCCCGTTAAAAGATGTCATTAAATCCCAATGTCCAAAGGCTTTCGTGATTAATTGAAGCATTTGGTTTTTAACATGATCAATTGAATCAAACGGAATTTTTATGCAAGCTTTGTAGAATTCATGAGCAGCAAATAAGCGAGAATCATTGGAAGCATATGAACTGTTAGCTGGATTCGGTAAGAATCATCGTTTGTACAGAATAGTGATTGTATGAAAAATTATTTGAATGAAATTTGTAAAATTAATAAAACAGAGACAAGATGAAACGGAATGCATAAAAAACAGCATAATTACATTGTTGGTAGCGTACATTTGACAAATTAGGGTTTGTAGGGCTTATTTACGGAATACTTGGGATAACTGTTCACTAACATGCAGAAGGTAGCTATGAATGAAATGTACCTTAAAGTAAGCGTAGTGGAATACCTAAATGAAGAGAACGCGATTGGTTTATTAGGAACATTCATCGTTTAACTGTATTCGTTGTCCATAACACATTTTTACGCGCAACTATTTGTTTGTGTTGCTGCCCTCCTTCTAAAATGAGTTTCTGTTTGATTCGCCCACTTTCTTAGTTTCATTTTGGTGTAGTTTGGACACCACGAAATCACCAGCATATTTATACTTCACCCTGAATTAATTAAGAGGTGTGAAGTTTGTTGTGTTTCATTGAAATTATAGGTTGAATAAAGTGATACCATTGTTAGAAACCTGTGAACACTGGTCAGAAGTTTTATTTGATTGTTGGCCTCATCAACACTGAGAATATACGAGTCCCATGAGAGCTATTTCTAAACCACGACATTTTATCCCGCACACAAATGTGAGCTTTCAAACATAATCCTATTTTGTCTAGAAATCCTTCACTGCCTTATAAATGAATCAGATCAAACAGATCTTTGATCGAAAGTTCTATTTTGATCGTTTACATGATATGGATTTACAGGAAGATGGTAAACAGATATGCATGCAATGAAATCCCACTATATAAAGTACGAAAATACCTACCAATAATATCATAAAAATAATTGTCAATGTTTCTTTGAGCCTTGATAAAAGTATTCATTTCCATTACATTATCTGGTATAGGATTATTCACTTCCCATTCTCTACATGCATATTGATAGAAACTGTCACAAGGATTGGTTATGTTTGAAAGGAGAATGTTTACATTTTGACTTGTAGTTTGAGATAGTATTATTTCTGTGATCAATGTTAGCAAGAGAATTGTTAAACAAAAAATACGATTTACCATGATGGCAGTTGAGGATAAAACAGATAATCACTAAAATTATTTTAAAAATTATAGAATCAAAATGAAGTTGTTTAACTTTACCATATTGGATAACAGTCACTGTAGACATTTGTGGACTTTTGTGGAATAATGAAGAACAGACTGCTTCCTGTTAAACAGATTTTCGCGACTGAAAGAACGACAAAATTTTTTCGAATATATATCACTTCACAAGATTCAATTTCACAAGTAACTGGCTGGCTAATATGGCTTATAATAATGATCATAATCTCAATTTTGAAATACAACAAAATGACCTAATTATGTCATTTATGTGTTAAATACAATTAGAAAAGTGTTTTGTTCATTGGAATTCAGCGTTAATTATTGTCGAAGTAAAGAATTTTAAATCGTACGTTAAATTCAATTAGTTCTTATTGCTTTTGAAAAAAAATTCAGTATACTTTATCTCACCTTATTTTATTGAGACAAGTTGAAGAAATATTGAGATGTGCTGGATATATTATTTCTCTGTGTATACTAATGTAGTATCGTAAAACAGCTATACGCAACTGTTTATAAATTCTGTTTTTGCTTTAAATGTTGATTTTTCGTAGTCTCACCAGTTTCTACTTCCTAAAGTAAGTTTTTTCTGCTCATTCTTCAGCATAACACTTAATCGATCGCAGTTCTATCAAGTTCTCATATCCTCTTGTTTAAAAAGTCTTTCGTTGTCAACGGAGTAAATATTGAATGGTCAGTTTATTTGAATTGGGTAATCAATAATGAACTGTCGGCACATGATCAAAATTACGGAATCACTTGAACGTCAGAGAGAGGCACTAAACTAAACAGTTTAAAACGAAGACGTCCTTCACCAAGAGGCATGAAAACTCTTCCATCTGCGGAAACAAAATGGCCACAAACTTTTCTCATGCGTCCCAAAACTATTTGTTGTAAGTATTATGTCGTTGTTGAAATTAACGACCGACTAACTTTTGATCTGTTTGTCAGTCTCATTCGTCATATCACTGACTTGACTTTATTTAAAATACTCATTCAGTTCAGAGGAGGAAAACTTTACATTACCCCACCATCCATACGAGAAGCTATGTTCAATCAGTCTTTCGCCTTACGTCTAGTAAATAAGCTTCGTAAAGAGAAAAATGTACGTTTATGTAAAAGTGATCGGACAATGACTTGTGACATTTAATTGTACAAATGTGCAAATACGTTTTCATAGCTTCAATATTTTTTTCTCATCGACAGTATAAGCTCAGAGATAATTGAGACAAATCAGTGAATTACACACATCAATGGTTTATTGTCGATTTTTGTAGCTATACAAAATAGTACGCAGCAAGCAAAACAAATGTCTATTTTCATTTAGAACTATACCACCTAGAATATCGACACTTCTTTTACACCATAACTGAATAAAAACGGAATCAACAGTGAGTTTACTAGTAGGTTTAAGTAATATTTTACAGAGTAATCAGAAAAAATAACATGTGGTATCCATTCAGGAACAATCGTTCTAAACTTCATGTGATAATATTTATGCATCTACACTATGAGCCTGGAACTTGACGTCGTACAACAAAATTCAACTATACAGTAAGCACGATACTAATTGTCACAACATTACGTGTTAACTGAAGTCGCAAATCCTAAACACGGTATTTCAAACTAATAGCTTGGTGGAGCTAACTTGTTAGGTACAGTCAACTGTTCAGAACCCTATTTGTAGAGTATTTATTCAATTTATGTTTAGCCATAAGTTTTTGTACATTTAAAATTAATTCTCAACCTTCCAGCGGATTTTCAATTTGATCGGAATACCTTCTAATATTAGTGAAAGAAAAAACCTCAATGACTCGGAAATTAAGGTCTTATGAATTCTAATTTGTGCTGAAGGAAGGTTTACGGAGAGTACATGCCTTTTTCTTCGCAATACTGGCTCTGCGCCACGTCAGGTGACCAAGGTAGCTCTCACTTGAGTTCATTCGTAAGACCATCATCATGTATTATTTTATGTAGTTTTAATGATGAATCAGCCACGCTTTACTCATATACTACCAAAGTGAACTGCTCCCTGTCTTATGTAACGTTCGTATTCACTCGATATGCAAAACATACTGCAAATTAGTATGATGCCAAGCTTTTCTTCTGAATAACACTGTGTGACACAAGGCACACTAGATTACTTAAAAGATGGAATTTATTACAACTGCTACCACATTCACCGTAAAATGTTGCACACCATCTCGCACCATCTCACCGACCGGATTAGTTTGACACAACCATATTTTCAATAGGTGAATATACAAACAAGGTAGTTACAATGTATAGTTCATGGTTGATTTGGACATTTCAGGTGTGAATTTATTAGAACAAATTGATTGAGAGGCGCGACTTGTCTAGAAGCATCATGGTTATTCCACTACTGATGTTCTTGAAAAGAAAAAAAGGAGAAGAAAAATGAGGAAGGTCCAAGACACACATAAAGAACTAGTCTGAGAAACGTCTAATCAATCAGATTATAACAGACTAGGCAGTGGTATATCAAGATTACATTTATACGGACCATTAACTCTAAAACAATTCGTATTGAATTCAATCACCTAGACTGAAAAAACTACATACTTCATACTTATTTCACAAGATGTATGTAAGTACTAAGTAACTCATAAACAACATAGAACTTCGTTCGTACGTACATCAATTCAAGTCGCCACTCAAGATTTGCACAGAGATGTGATTTCCCCATATTGGTAGAGGTAGTAGAAGTATCAGCTGTAATCGGAACATTCAGGGAAGACGTATTCAATCAGTGTTTTTCGTCTTACGTCCAGAAAAATAAGCTTCGAAAGGGGAAAAATATATGTCTTTATAAGAGCGATTGGGCACTGACCTGTGAAAGTCAAATATAACAACATAATCTGTTGTATTTTTAGAGTGACTTTTGATGATGAGGATAAATTTCATCACGTTGTCATACATTATTTCATGCCATGATCTTCTGAAAATACAGTTTTCTTATTTCTCACTATTGAGCTAACAACTTTCTACAACTTTAACATTTTTCATACAGAATTAGATAATTTACGAGACAAATGAAACTAAAGAATGTAGTCCACGCAACAATGATATGATTTATTTGCTGGTAGCTGGATGAATAGACAACAATAACCAAAACGAGTTTCTTTATTCACTTAAAACACTGCCACGTATGAGACTAACATACCTTACGCATAAAAACTCAATGAGCAGTGATTTTATTTGCATATTGAATGTTTTTTTCAAAGTAGTGAGACAAGCATTTTTGAGGACAATGACTCCAGTCTTTAATTGTTGATACTTACGCATAAGTAGTACGAGTCAAAAAAATTATTGTTTACGTCTTTTGCTGTCATACCGTCTCTTCATCGATAACATGAAGCATGATAGTACTATAAGTTTACAAACTTTCAAAATCTCGACTTAAAACTTGAAACTAATGCTTAGATGTAACTGATATGCTAATTACGGTCCCCAGATTAAAATCCTGTTTATCTACGTTTTAGGTGATCCAGATTCAGCCAAAATTTTGTGTGAAGAAGTTATTAGTTCCTAACATTTCAACAGTCTTTCAATTCGATTAAGATACCTTCTACAATTTAAAAAGTAAAACATTTGGAGTGGCATAGTGCAAGACGATTACTCGCTTGAACACGTCATTTTTTGAAATCTCAATTATTCTGATTCAACCTGAGTAGTATCTCACACACACCAAATGATCTCGTTGACATAAAAGTCGAGCTACCATAATCCTCACTCTCACAAATTATTCGCACGATTTCTCGGCTACATCCGTTTATGTCCCTTATTGCATCGAACGTATATTCCATATAATTCCGATTTTGTGTAATTCCTCACTTCGCCACCTATACAGTAGCTTACCTATGGTCAAAAACTTGTCAGGTCTAAGTTATATGAAGACATGGACTGTGGAAGACTTGAAAGCTGAAGCCGAAAGAGAAATCTATGCCGAATGCCGTGATGTAAAGAAAAGTTCTAAATATGCTGAAAGTTACTGGAAAATAGTCAGTACGCTATTTCAGAATGTAAGCTTCATTTAATGTTGAACTTGCAGTTAACATAGGACGCCTTCTCTGATGGCTTTTATTGATGTTTCGTACCAGACCATGAGCTCATCACTTTACAATACTACTGATTCAGTCTACGAGTACTGAAACTATTCTCCGGATATTAAGTTTATTACCAAAGTACAGTCTGCTTCTGACCGTTTGTTCTCGTGTAGGGCAAAGTGGATTGATTGTTCTGGTGTGTATTATCTAACTGAATGTTGATAATGTAGACAACAACATGTCTATTGCTGAATGATATATCTATCTACTAGCTAACTCCATCATTTTAGCGATTCCACTAGATACATCGAATGGCAGATGAGGACAGTGAACAACATTGTGTTAGTAATCGAGCCAATCAAATTCCTTACGCCAAGGAAAGTCACCACGTTGTGATAATATTCTCCTCATAGTCTTAAAACAATCTACAGAAGCCATCTGCTCACCGATATGTGACCTGTTTAGGCATTCACTACAGTCCCACCAGCTCACAGCTGAATGAAAACAAACTACTCTCACCATTTATCAAAGGAGGAGATAGGAAGGGCTCAGCCCTCTAAAGACCATCAGCATTACTACCAACAATGTCGAAGATAATGGAAGAGCTGGTGAATGGACAAATAAGGGAGTACTTGGAAAAAATTAAACTGCTCTATGAAGCTCAACACGGGTTTCGGAAAGGCGGGTAGTGCGCATCCAATCTTCTCATAGTATGGGACATTTAGACATCCTGCTTGAACAAAAGAACACGGGTGCATGTAATATGTCGTGACTTTGCAAAAGCCTTCGACACAGTATCCCACGCAGGCATAATCGCGAAAGTTGCGGCAACCGTAATCACTGACCCACCTTGAAAATAGAAAGTTTCGTGGTAGCATAAATTGACTGAAC